CCGAACTACATGCACTCTGCTCTGACATTTTATTCCTGTTTCATTTATTTGTCAAAATCAAATAAATAACATTATCGCTAGGCATTATATTTCAAGATCTTTCACTCACCCAATACCATCATGCAATAGTCAATAAATATATTTTGAACTAAAAGTGGTTAATTAATAATGAACTTTTGAAATACATTGCATAGATAATATTATTTCAAGTATGTTGTCTACTTCATATAACCTGATATTATTAGTTGTTCTTATTTTAATAATATATCTGAGATGAAAAATAAAAAAATTCAAAATAAATAGTATAAATTATTATAAAATACTAGAGGTCCAGTGCACAAAATCCATGCATGGAAGGGGGTGTCCCTCAGCCCAGCCTGCACTCTCTCCAATCTGGGACCCTTGAGGTAAGTCCAACTGCCTGTTTAGGACTGATCCCAGTGGGATCGGGCCTAAGCAGGCAGCCAGAAATCCCTCTCACAATCCAGGACTGCTGGCTCACAACTGCTCGCCTGCCTGCCTGCCTGCCTGATCACCCCATGACCACTCCACTGGCAGCCTGATAAATGACTTACTGCTCCCCTGCTGGCACGATCACCCCCAACTGCCCTCCCATGCTGGCCCGATTGCCCCTAACTGCCCTCCCCTGCCAGCCTGGTCACCCTTAAGTTCCCTCCCCTACAGGCCTGGATCCCTAATTGCCCTCCCCTGCTGGCCTGATTTCCCACTACTGCGCTCCCCTGCAGGATTATGTGGAGGAAAAGAGACATAGGGAGTACAGAGATGACTAATATGTATTTTATCTCATTTTGCTGCTCTAGCATTCAAATTTACATCTTCCTATCTTCTTACACAGCTATTCCTTTGTCATTAGGGCCCTATAAAGTTTCTTTAAAGAAAGAAAGGAAAATTGCTGATTTGTGCCTCAGTGAGAGAGCTAGAAGTGCGAAAAGTGTTTCTCACACATCCCAGGGGTAAAGTTTTAGTATCCTTATTACTAAAAGCCTAAGTGGTCGTCACACCATAATGCCATTACGCCATCATAAGATGGCTGCACACACAGGTGGGCAGGGCTGGGCTTGATTCTGCGAGTGTGGCACGGAGCCTGCCTGGGAGACCTGCCTCCTCCAGGCTCCCAGGCAGGTCCCCCGGCCTCATGAGGCGAGGCCTGCCTGGGGGTCTGGCAAGGTCTGCCTGGTAGTCCCCGGGCTTCGCATGGTGAGACCTGACTGGGGATCTGGCCTCCTCCTGCCTCTGCACAGCGAGGCCTGCCTGGGAGTCCTGGGGGTCCCGCCTCCCAGCTCCACAGGGCATGGAGTCAAGACCCCCAGCTCCAGCCTACCTCTTTGGGGCAATTTATTGAGGAACCCCAGATGGGTGGGCAGGGCCTACCTGTTTGGGGCAATCAATCCTGGGGCTCACGCACTGTGACAGGACACAGGCCAGGCTGGGAGACCCCACACCCACCAAGGATGAATTTTGTGCACTGGGCCTCTAGTTTTTATATAAACATCCTTGTTTTAATTACTGAAATACCTTATTTTTCTCACCTCCACAATTTGTATTATTTTTTCTATGCATTTAAAACTTGTAAAACAAAACTGCAATCAAGTCTTTTAATTAATACAATAGAAGTAAAGGCAGTTAGTTGGCATTCTAGAGGAAAACTAAATTCTAGAACTAAGTGTGCCCCTTTTTGCATATATGAATTTCTCTTACCGAATTAGCTGATGAATCACCAATAAAAACAGGTGGAATGTCAACTTTCTTTAATGAATCAACTTACTGTTGTTGGATTATAATTCTTCCTTGCTTTCAATGACCTGGCTTGATTTTAATACAATTAGTGATCATGAGCTGATAAAACATCAATAGTTATACCTTTGCTGCAAAGTTAATTCAATACCTACTATTTTTCAGACAACATGTTGGGCTCTGGAGATACAAAGATGAATATTCTTTTTTTTTTCTTGGTGAAAAATAAAATGTAGGCAATATTCTGGAATCTTAGGGAACAATGACAGCAACAACCTTTAATGATTCCACTGTGTTATTTCAAATATTTCAATACCTTGAACTGACTTTTGAGTTAATTTGCTATTTAAAAATAAAAGCATAGTTTATTTTATGTGAGATACAAATATGATATCACTCATCCGGAATACTTGAGATTCCTAGCAATATTGGAGAAGAACCAAAATTAATGTCTGGAGTCTGTGATAAATAAAAAAACACATTTTAGGAAGCTACATTTTAAAGTCATAGAACAATCTATGCTGATAGGAATTTTCTTAATGCCACCCTAACATCTTTGTTTCTCAGGCAATATAT